CCGTTCCCGCTCCGCCGCCTCCCGCAGGGACTCCTCCAGCTTCACCTTCTCGGGGTCCCCGAACCGGACGGTCTCGTGGAGGCAACAGGGCGCCGTCACCTTCACCACCTGGTCGAAGAGGCTGAAGTCGGCCACGTACTTGCCGCTGGCCGAGAGGGAGATGGCCGGGGTGAACTCGTAGCCCCAGAGGATCTCCTCGGGCAGGTAGGAGGTGCGGACCTGGCACGTGGCGCTGGTGGACTCCACGGTGCCGCTGAGGATGACCACCAGCTCGAAGTCGCCTTCGCCCGTCCGTAGGGCCACGTCCCGGAAGGGGCTGGCGTCGTCCACCACGTGGTAGAAGGTGAGGGGCAGGATGAGGAAGGGGCTGTCGGAGGAGGTGTCCACCTGGAAGTCCACGTTGACCTGGTTGAGGCGGACGCTCTCGCCCTCCTTGGTGAGGTGGGTCTGGAGGAGCTTGCCCGTCACCTGGCAGCCGATGAGGAGGCTCTTGCGCATGTTGGCCACGCGGATCATCAGGCAGGTCTTGCCGTTGTGTTGGGCCACCACCGCGTTTTGGCTGAACTTGATGGTCTCGGCGCGTTTCTTGGGCCGGGCAATCTTGGCCAGGAAGGTGCCGGTGATGAAGATCTCCATGATGGTGGTGAGGACCAGCTGGGTGATGAGCAGGACGATGGCGAGGGGACACTCCTCGCTGATTTAGCCGATGGTGGTCTGGGACTCGAGGGAGAAGAGGAAGGCGCCGGTGAGGGTGTGCACCTGCATCACGCACGGCGTGTGGTTGGCCGGCGGGTCGAACTCCAGCAGGTCCCCGTGGACCACGGCCACCAGGTACCAGATGACACCGAAGGCGAACCAGGTGCCGGCGAAGGTGGCGGAGAAGAGGACCAGCTTGTAGCGCCACTGCATGTCGATGAAGGTGGTCCACAGGTCCTTGAGGTACAGGAAGCGCTTGTCGGCGATGTGCTCCATCCGCACGTTGCTGCGGCCATCCTTGGTCATCACCCGGCGCCGGCGCAGCCCCGAGCCGATGAGCGGGCGGCTGTCGGTCTGCGTGGTCTGGCTGTAGTACACCTTGGTGGCCGACGTCATCTGGAAGAGGAGGTGATGGCGGCGGGTGTTGAGTGGGTGCGGGGAGGGAGGCAGGGAGGGATGGAGAAGAGGGAGGGAGGGATGGATGGATGGATGGAT